TCAATTTTATCATAATTTTTTCTACAATTCTTATTTCAATGATTGATTGAAAGGCATCAAGAACAAGCAAGCTTTAAGTTTTGATGCAAAGATACAAAGAAATAACAATAATAACTACAAAATAAAAGTAAAAGATAATAATAGAAGACGATAAATTTATAAATCATAATTTCTTTTAAAAAGGGTATTACATATACAATGGAAAAAATAAAATTATAACCAAGTAAACTTCGATAGTTTTATAAATACACGACACAAATTAAACAATTCCAAGAACAATAATAATTAGCAATCGATCAATATTATACTCAACCTATTCATCTGTCATTATTGTTTTTGGCTGTTCTTCATGCTGAACAGTGATGCCGCATGTTTCACCGAGGCCTATGTTTTGTGACATGATGATAGGATCTAATCATAATAATTATCATATAATCACTAAACATTGTACTTCATACGAACCGAGATAATACAGTAAAACACTCCTTTTGAAACACCTTTATTCTGGAGACACTCATATTAAAGGCACCTTTCAGTGAAATGAGGAAAAATAATGTCATTCAACACTGCCGCCAGCACCTAATAAGGGGACGGGGATAAATATCATTCTGAGTGGTCAAATCAACACATTTTAACCAGTATTAATGGGCCACTATTCTTTTCATTATCACAGCAACTACAATAGACTCAAAACAACAATTTTTCATTCAAACGTTTACTTTTGCTAACATCAAATAAGTATTGGTTTCTTGATCATTAAAATGGACATCGGTATAACCCCATCTTTTTACTGATGCTATATTTTTTGTTTGCACAAGTAAACTATTTTATATTGTTTCGTTACCAATAAGATATTTTCTTTAATATTCAATGCACTTCACTTCATCTACAACTTCGATACTCTAATGATTAATCAAAATTGACTTATTATTTTGCTGAGTGCGTCTAAAATCAAAGGTAATTCCTTTAGATTCTTTTTTTTCAAATATGAATGGCAAGATCATTTGTATTACACTAAGCTACATTTAAATGACTAACAATAATTCTGTTTACTATTTTTCCTGACCAAGTTAATAATGTTTACTATTTTTCCTGATCAAGTCAATAATGACACTCGTCGACTTGTTTAAATTTCAGTAATTAAATTTTAGTATAAAACTATTTGTGTAAATTCTAATCAGAAGAAAGGACGCACACTTGACAGTCCCTTTATTAGGTAGAGTAGGCCTATCTCATGCCACGGTCACCATATTTTTTTTAAATTATAATTGTAATCAAGAATTATGTTATTAGTAGTAGTATGTTATGATCATTGTTATTATGATTATTCTTTCATCGTAATATTATCACCAGTATTTATTTTAATCATTATTTTCATCATCACCATCATTATTAGTATCGTCGTTATTATCTTCACGATCTTCATAATTAGACCACCATCATCAATGCTAATGACCATTATTATTATCATAATCATAATTATTATCATCATGAAACTATTATCGTCATTATAATTATTAACACTGCATTTTCACTTCCTGTTTAAATTAATGATTTTTATTTATACCAGTTGAAATAAATGGTAGACATTTACAGAATAATATCATATCATATCATTTATTTCGTCTTCAGTTCAAAATACGCAGTAAGAGATAAACAACAAAAAGAAAAAACAGAAAAGAAACAATGCTAGCTAACACCAGACGGGATTGCGTTAAGGCTACTGCCTTGGAGCTCTTCAAAATGCCGCTAGCAAAAAATATATAGGCCTAAGGCAACATAAAGGTAAAATAAAATGTTCCATGCTAAAATATAAATATTTATCGATAAATTAGAGCTTTATATGCTGGTTTAAAATTTTGTTTGTATGTACTACTTTTAGTTCTAAAAAAAGTGGATTTTAAGTCGATTAATAAATGTTTAAGTTAAAAATGAGTTCGTCTCTTATTTCATTTGGCAAAGTATCCCAGATACGTGGGAAAGAGCAGTAGATGTTGAATTTTAATAAGTTTGTCTTGGCGAATGCATGATTGAATTCAATTTTGTCTGTGTGTCATTGATTAATATTAATGTACTTAAATACGTTGATGTTTAGATGGCCATACATGCATTTAGCAGTAAATGTTAAAATAATAAATTGCAGTATGTTCAAATGACAATAAGCCTTCAGAGTAGGATAGTGTTGATGAAGAAAGATGGCATGTTTTAGTCATGCGGCGTTGTACTTGTTCGAGTGATGTGATGTGATTTTCAAGGTGTGGGGTGTCCAAGCTGGTAAAACTGCATTCAAGTATGGGTCTTACAGGGGTTGAGTAGAGTTTGCTTAATACAAAATTATCTCTGCTTTGTACGATACGCTTTATAAACCCAGAAGTCTTTTGATTTAGTTACCAGTACATGATCACTCCAATCAAGTTTTGAAATAATGGTAATACCTGAATATTACAAGCTGATACAACTTGCAACTCTTTACCATTGATGGTATAGTTATGCGCATCATTTTAAAATCTTGTGATATGCATTTGATTGCATTTTTTAGTAATCTTGTTTATCGTGCACCAAGTAAGTATATTATTGATATAAGTTTGGAAAATGGTGTTATAATTAGGTCACCATATGGCTCTATATAAAAAGGAATCATCAGCAAATTGAAGCAAGTCAGAGTTTACAAATGTTGGACGATCTGACACAAATATGTTAAAAAGGATTGGTCCAAGGACCGACCCTTGTGGGACACAGATAATACCGGACATGAATTTGATAAAGCCCCTCTGAACTTTACAATATTTATTGTCGGTTAGAGAGGAAGGAAGAAATCCAATTCCACAAGGAACCACACACTCCATATTTGTGCAGTTTCTCCAAAAGTTTAGCATGGCTTACTCTATCAAATGCCTTACTCCAATCTCAAGTATGTGAGCCCAGTCGTGTATAACTTTACTTAAAAGTGTAGTACAGGATCTGCCAGAGACAAATCCGTGTTGAGAATCGCTGATAAAGCCAAATGTTGACAAATAAGAATTTAAGTGCTAATATAATTATATATTGAATAAGTGCTAATATAATTATATATTGAATAAACAAATTTTAAACCTTAATGCAGATTTAAATTCATTCAGTTTACCCTTCGATGAGGAGACGAAACAAAGGCCTGGCGTGTATTGTAATGATTCGCATATCATAATCAAGCTCAAAAAATGACATCGACTATAATACATTCATATATACAGAAATTAGTTGTTACCGTACCACGTGTTTGCGGTAATGTAGTTACTATATTAAGTCTGTGTATGCAGCATCTATAATTGTCATACATGTATGTGGTACTTCGTAAGACGAATCTTCCTCAGTTGGAGCCTTTGTTTCCGTCTTAGACTTTAGACGTAGCAATTGAGTGATTTTTGTTCGATTCTGATTTTGAAAATCAGCTCCAGTTCTTGTGTTAATTCTATTTACAATATAACTTCGTCATATTCTCGACCGTCTTTCTTACTTTCATGACTATTGAATCACTTTCTTTGGTATTCGTTCGTTGATTATACAGGCCCGTATCCAGGGGGTTTTATGGTTCGGGAGAACCCCCCTTTTCTAGCAACTCCCCCTCTTTTCTGGCGAAACTTCTTCTTGGACTATAACCTTGACGTGGTGGAGAAGCTTGTGTTCCTCAGTGATTCAATGGGCTATGTCGACGGTAGCTTAGCTACTGTTAGGGTCACCCATGTCGAACAGACCATTGGGGAGAGGACAGACAAATAATAGTCCAAACAACAATCCTGAGAAGGTTGTGCGTAGCGTTAGCGCCGCTACCACGGAAAAAGAATTTTGCTACAGAAACAGTAACAAATGAGAACATTCAAATTGAAGACTTGGGTGAACGAAGGAGGGTTGGTGATAATCTACCGCTGATGAGGGGCTGGAATGAAAGCCGTAAGGAAGTTTCAGACTGGAAGAACTATGTTTTGTCACCTAAGCAAAAACTTTTTTTAGGATGCTGGAATGTTAGAACAATGTACGAAGCCCGAAAAACAAACCAGGTTATACGAGAAATGGAAATATATAACATGGAAATTCTATGGATAAGTGAATGTAGATGGAATGGACAAGGAATGATTAGACATGCAAGTGGTGCAACAATATGCTTTTCAGGACAGGAGAGCGGACATTACAGGGGAGTAGCTCTAATAATCAACAAAAAAATAACAAAGACACTGATAGACTGGGAGCCTATAAATGCAAGAATTATACGAGCAAGATTCAACTCTAAATATACAAAATTGACCATTATCCAATGTTATGCACCAACTGAGGACCACTGCGATGAAGACAAAGATACTTTTTACAGCACACTTGAAGAAACCGTGAGAAAAACCCCAAAGCATGATGTAATGGTAGTTATGGGAGATATGAACGCAAAAATAGGAATAAATAACACAGGGAGAGAGAGGGTGATGGGAAAGGAAGGTCTTGGCAAAATGATGAATGACAATGGAGAGAGATTTGCAGATTTCTGCATGGAGAACGACTTAATCATTGGAGGATCTATCTTCAAACATAAGGACATCCATAAAGAAACATGGGTTTCTCCAACTGGGAAAACAAAAAATCAGATTGACCACATCACAATAAATAGAAAATGGAGGACATCCCTTCAAGATGTCAAGGCAAAAAGAGGTGCTGATGTGGGAAGTGATCATCACTTACTAGCAAGCCAAATTAAATTAAAATTACGTAAAACGTCAAACAAAAAGCCAGAAATTCTCTTTACCACTCAGAGGCTGAGAGACCCAGTCACCAGAAACATCTTTGAAATCAATCTCAAGAATAGTTTTGAGGTACTAGAAGAGCTACCGACTGAGGACATTGAGAGTGGCTGGACAAAATTTAAACAGGCTTTTAAAGAGACAAGCAGTTTGGTCCTAGGGCAAAAGAAAAAAGCATGGAAAACATGGATGACATCAAAATCATGGAATCTTATCGAAGAGAGAAAGAAACTGAAACAAGAAATTCTCTCAAGAAAGGAAAACTTTATGAGAGATAATACGTATAAACGGAAGAATAAACAAGTGAAGAAGAGTGTGAAAGAAGATAAACAACAATTCTTTGAAGAACAAGCAAAAGAAGCGGAAAAAAGCAGCCAACAGAGGAGATCTAGGTACATTACGGTATACAAAATTACAAAATCTCTCATAGGATCGTACCAAATAAATTCGTCTTCAACTGTAAAAGGAAAAGACGGAACAAGAATTACAAAACAAGAAGAGGTGTCAAAGAGGTGGAAAGAACATTTTCAGGTGTATAAGAGACAGTCATTAACCTAGATATGCAGAACCACACTTTTGAAATGAATATGGGACAGATAACCTTAAGTGAAGTCAAACAAGCAATCCAAAAGACCAAAAACTGGAAAGCACCTGGAGAGGACAAAATTACAGGTGAGATGATCAAGGCCAGCATAGACGTCAGTTCAAAAGTATTAAGAAAGCTATTAAATAGAATTTGGGAAGAAGAAGAAGTACCAGAAGACTGGAAGTCTGGAATTATTGTAAAAATACCAAAAAAAGGGGATAGTTTAGATTGTAACAACTGGAGAGGCATAACTCTGCTTTCTATACCAGGAAAGATTTTCAGCAGAATCATACTAGAAAGAATGAAAACATCATTAGAAAGAGTAGTAAGAGAAGAACAAGCCGGCTTCAGGAAAGGACGAGGATGCATGGATCATATATTCACTCTCAGAACCATAACTGAACAGAGCATAGAGTGGAACAGCAGCCTTCACCTGAATTTCATAGATTTTGAAAAAGCCTTTGACAGTGTCCACAGGGAGACACTCTGGAAAATAATTTCACTTTACGGAATTCCAAAAAAACTAATAA